CAGGGCTAATAACTATACATTATGCCCTCACAGCTTGTAATAAAACAAGAAAACAATTCAGCCTCAAGGAGAAATCTATAGCTATCAGTAACAATTAATTGCACATTTATTCCAAAGCCATTTAAAATGATTTAGTTTAATTAATTCAACAAAATTGATGAACTTGATCTGGTGATACCAGCTTTTCAATGTCTTGATAGTCTTTTACACATCCAGCACCTCTCTGCCACCCACTTGCCTCGGCACCCTGCTAATCCCACAGCCCCCTTTTGTTGTTGTTGTTGTTTAGTCATTTAGTCGTGTCCGACTCTTCATGACCCCATGGACCAGAGCACGCCAGGCACTCCTGTCTTCCACTGCCTCCCGCAGTTCGGTCAAACTCATGCTGGTAGCTTTGAGAACACTATCCAACCATCTCGTCCTCTGTCGTCCCCTTCTCCTTGTGCCCTCCATCTTTCCCAACATCAGGGTCTTTTCCAGGGAGTCTTCTCTTCTCATGAGGTGGCCAAAGTACTGGAGCCTCAGCTTCAGGATCTGTCCTTCCAGTGAGCACTCAGGGCTGATTTCCTTCAGAATTGATAGGTTTGATCTTCTTGCAGTCCATGGGACTCTCAAAAGTCTCCTCCAGCACCATAATTCAAAAACAGCCCCCTTTGGGAAACACTAATTCAGAGTGAGGTTAATGACTGAATTGCCTAGCTGATGATCCTTGTGTGGAACTGGGCAGGAGTGTGACCACACTAATATTCAAAGACCTCCCAGAGGTATTTGATACAATAGAACCATCTAGTCTTCCTAGACTGCCAGTTTACTTTAATTTGGGGGGATACTACTTTGCAGTAGCTAGCTACCAGAAAGTAGCACTAAGTGTCTGCTACTCTCTCCCATGGGCTCTGACCTGCGGAGTATCTCCCAGTGCCATCTTATCCCTGGTACTTTTTAATATCACATGCAACTGCTGGGAAATATCATTTGGAAGCCTGGAGTATGGTGTCATCAATATAGTAATCAATATGCAGGTCTTAAAAAGGCAATGTTTCTTTTCAAATCCTTTCTTATCAGGATTCTCTGAGGATATGTGGGATTGAAGGTATGAGCTGGATGAGGACCAACAAACAAGTTTATCCAGACATGACAGAACTGGTTATGGTGGCAGAATGATGCATGCCTAAAAAGTGTATCTTCAACATGAAACATTTGGAAAGCTCTGCTGAATACCATCCCTAGTTTTGACTGTCATTGGTGCAGTTACATTTGGCTTGGTTTGATATTTGTATGTAGCTTTTCCAACAACCACATTGAGCTTGTATAATCCATAATGTGACAGTGTATTTGTATCCTGCTCTTCTATTGAAAGTCATTTTCTTTTGTGATGAATTTTAATTGTTCTTATTCTTTGAACATTTCTTAACATTTTATGTACGCCACTTAGAAATATGTAAATGCAAGTACAACAAACAGTTTCTAACGCAGTAACACTTCCCCAGTCCATCACTCAACCCAGGTCACCCAAGACAACCTAGGCAGTTCCCAGACCGGACCTAAAACCAGTCTGGAAATGGATCCAAATAATGTTTGGCTCAGCAAATCCTGGAGCTGCATCACATGTTCACCTTACTGCTTTAAGCAGCCATTATGGCATCCCTGTGGATGGCCTTACTTCAAAGTCTGTCCATGTTCTCAGTACCAATAATATTAACTCAGGCTTCCTCAAACTCAGCCCTCCAGATGTTTTTAGCCTACAACTCCCATGATACCTAGCTAGCAGGACCAATGGTTAGGAATGATAGGAATTGTAGTCTCAAAACATCCAGAGGGCTGATTTAGAGGAATCCTGTATTAAGGGCTTTTTAAAATTGATGTGAGTTCGAAGACCAAATAAGCATAGAATCTGGAACATTGTAAGCTCTGGGAGGGTGCAGAGTTTTCTGTTTCTGTAGATTTCTTAAGAGGTGAGGCTGAATCGCTACAGCAGCAAGCTGTAGTAATTCCCTTTCCTGCCACCTGCCCTGTCCACAGAAAGTTTTTCCAGAGCTGATTATTTTCTGAAAACCCTCTACCATCTAAAATAAGGGAATAAATGAAATAATTTTTGCAGGGATTCTTGGGCCATTGCAACAAGATATCTGTAAAAGAACCTAGATTTTTTTACTTCTAACCAAATATAAATAAACCAGTCTGTGTAATGCTGGCACAAGGAACTGCAGAGATTTCCACTGCAACACATAACTGACTTCAGTATAACTGGTAAATGGCTGTGTTGCACATTGTTCTTCCTTATCAGAAATTGGTACCATCAACCATATGATGATTTTTATGAAGCATTCCTTCTTAGTGAATGTTTTAAAAGTACAATCCTGTATCTTACTGAGTAAAACCCATTCAGTTCAATTGGGCTTACTCCCAGCTACAAGGGACTTGGATTGCTACTGCCTTACTTACGTACCAGTAGTCAAACAACTTACTCAGGAGTACTTCTGTTGATTTCAATGGACTCCCATCATTTTTCATTTTTGTGAAGTGCTTTGGGCATTTTGTGCTTATTGGAAAGGTGACATTGCAACAACTTAATTAATATCCTACTGAAGCCAACAACACATTCCCCATGTTTTCCATAAATTATAATAGGATACAGTTTGAGAATTGTTGCTTAGAGAACATCATTCTAAATGTACTCAAAACCAAATGTTTTGTTTTTTCCTTCATGGAAAATGCTGATTTAAAAATAAAACACAAGCTCTTTCAACTGGGAAAGGAAACACTTGGAGACTCACTTTCATGCTGCTTTTAATTAGAAACTTGCCAAAAATAAACACTGAAAATGTCATTCATACACAATAAATACCGAAAATGTCAAAAATGCCACTCAGCAGCCATGTTTCTTTATAGCAGGAAACTGTTTGCTCTGTAAATTGTGGAGCTGCTCAGACTTCTCTTGTACACGAACCTTCTCCATGGAGTAGATTTGCTACACAGAGATGCATATTGGAAAGAAGCACTATGTGTGTGCTTTCTGTAGGGACTGAATTATCTTGCTGGATTTTCCCTGTCAAATCCAAAAAGCAGAATATATCTTATCCTTCCAGCTCCTCTTATAAAATTTGGAATCATCCAATTAGTCTACAACATGTGGGATTTGCAACAAAATGTAATGCGGTATACTTGATACTTAGTCTGAACATTGGCAATAGAGTGGATTCTTGTTACAGCCATGCCTTCCTTAACGCAGCGACCTCATTTACAGTGAAGTGTAGCTTGCAACTGAGGCTGCTTTCAATTAAATCACTTAGATTGTGCTTGACGCCTTGGTCTTGGTTGCAGGTGGCAAATCAGCACTGCCATCAAAAAGTCAGGATAGTGACTCCTCATTGCATGTGAACAGGCGGAGGAAACCCCATATATCGCAAGACATGATAAATCTACAAAGTGATAAATGTTTTAAATACATACTGATCTTTATTTTTGTGTTGCACTGTATATGATTCCATGTAAACTTCCCTGAAATCTAATAGGATGAAGGGACATTTGAACTTCTAATAGGAAGTATAAATATTCTAATGAAATAAAATTAATTATTATCATGTGCGGAAATGTTTCCAAAGCATACCTTACTTACATGTCCATCTCACTGAAATGAAGAAAGTAAAAGCCCTGCTGGATCAGACCAAAGTCCCATGTACTGTAGTCAGAAATCCTTTTCTCAGTGGTCTAGCCACTGGGCGGGACATGGAAAGTGTAATGCTGCAGGTCAAAAAAAGAGGTTTAAAGACTCTCTCAAGGCAAATCTTTAAAAAATGTAGCATAAACACTGACAATTGGGAAACACTGGCCTGCAAGTGCTCCAATTCAAGAACAGCCTGTACCAAGTGTCATAGACTTTGAAGATGCTCAAACTCAGGATGAAAGTGAGAAATGTGCTAAGAAGAAGGCATGTTTGGCAAACCCTCACCGTGATCAACTCCTGCCCAGAAACCTATGTCCCCACTGTGGAAGGACGTGTGGATCCAGAATCGGCCTCCACGGTCACTTGTTGTTAAAACCGTGTCCATGGAAGGCAATCTTACTTGGCTATGAGTGATCACCAAGGAAAGAAACAGGTGACAAATTAATAGAGGACTTCCTTGTATACAAATAACAGAAATGTGAAAGTCTTTACATCCAAAAACATTCATGCAAATATTAAAGAAGAGTAAGTTTCTAGTCCTCATGGGGGAGCTGGAGGGTGGCGGGAAGCAGATACTCTTTAAATGTGTACAGCTACGAACTACGGCTATAGCTCCGGAGTCCTAGTCCTTCTTCCCAAGGTAAGGAACTCTGCCTACTCCTTGGGGACACCCTAGCCAGCATTGTGTGCTGGCCGTTTGTTCCCCTGAAGAGGCACACGCATCCCCTGACTGCACGCCTACTGTTTTTGCTCGGCTCGTAAACAAGCTAGCAAGCAGCCCCGCTGATCCGCGAAGCAGGCGATAGTTCAAAGTGGGAGGACCGATGAGAGAGAGAGAAACTGACTTCATTGCAATCCGAACATCTGCATACAATGCAGCTTTTAAGCCTAGGGAAGTCCGCCCCCTCTTTGCTGCCCTGCACCTAATTGCATCCATGCCACTGTGCAAAGCAGCGCCCCGTGAAACTTTGCAACGGACCTTTCCAATCCCATGCATTTCAAGTGAAGTCGTACTGGGGTCGGGGCAGTCGCTCGGACTTCCATGCACAGGTTTGCAGCACCCTCGATCTGCGAACCCTCGGGGCACGCAGGCATGCCGCACCCCCCACCCACCCCCCTCTCCTGGAAGAAGGAGGGGAAATCGCGGCTCACTTTCCTCGCCGTTTGCCCACCGGGTCGTCCTCGTTTCTGCAGCCCAGAACAAAGTGGCGGAAGCCCGAGAGGGCGTCCGGAGGCGCGCGCTGCGGCCAAGGGGGGGCGGGGCGGGGCAGAGCAGGGGGCGGGGCCACCGGCAGGCAAGGGGCGTCAATGGCGGTCTCCTCCCACGCACACCCCCCCCCCACTCCAGCTCAAACCCGGCCTCGCCGCGCCATGTGTGTGGCGACCAGGCGCGCGGGCTGCTGCCACCCTATTTAAACAGAGGCTATGAGACCAGGAGGAGCAACGGAGGTCCACCGAGATCACTCAGGAGGCAGAGAGACGGGGGACGGGAGAGGAGGGGGAGGAGGAAGAAGAAAGGGGAGAAGAAGAAGAAGGAGATGCTCTTGGCGCCCCCGCCACCATCGCAGCATCAGGGATAAGTCGCGGGAGAGTTGTAGTTGAGTTGCAAAACATCCCCCCTTTTTAAAAAAAAGAAAAAGCAACACATTCCCTGCTAGGCATCAAGACGAGAGGGGGAGAGAGAGAGAAAAGACGAGGCGCTCCTTGTTGTTGGATCCATACAAACTTTGCAGGGTTTGCTTGGGGTTTTTTTCCCAACTGGCGCGCGCTCTTCTCGCATCTTTGGGTACGTAGTTCCCGTGCATTCAGGAGTGCTTTCCCACTCCTCTCCGAGTTCTGTTTCCTTTTGCGTCGCAACCATGCCGTCCTTTTTCTTCCTCGGCTGCTTTTCTTGCAGCCTGATGGCTTGGCTGCTCCTCGCCGGCGGCAGCAGCAGCAGCAGCCGCCCGGGCGTGGAGGAGGCGGAGGAGAAAGCGCTGCGGGTGCTGGTGCTTCTCCCCAAGGACAACGCGTACCTGTTTTCCCTGGCGCGGGTCAAGCCGGCCGTCGAGTACGCGGTGCGGCGCCTGGAGGCGAACGGGACGCTCCTGCCGGCGGGCTACAAGTTCCGGCTCTTCTACAACGACTCGGATTGCGGCAACGGGGCGTTGTTCAGCCTGGTGGACATGGTGGCCTTGAGCGGCCAGTGGCCGGACCTGCTGCTGGGCCCCGTGTGCGAGTACGCGGCCGCGCCCGTGGCGCGCCTGGCCTCGCACTGGAACCTGCCCATGATCTCGGCCGGCGCCCTGGCCGCCGGCTTCGGCACCAAGACGGGCGAGTACTCGCACCTGACCCGGGTGTCGCCGGGCTACGCCAAGATGGGCGAGATGTTCCTGGCGCTCTTCCGCCACCACAACTGGAACCGGGTGCTGCTGGTCTACCACGAAGACAAGGAGCAGCGCAGCTGCTTCTTCGCCGCCGAGGGCGTCCATGTGGTCTTCCGCGACGCCGGCTTCCACCTGGACGACTTCGCCTTCGACGAGAGCGCCAAGTACGCCGAGGACGTGGTGCGCGCCATCCAGGGCGGCGAGAAAGGTGAGGATGCGCGCGGGAGCGACCTCCGGGGGGAGCTGCCCTTACCCGGAGCCCAAGGATGCTCCTCCGGCTGGGGGTGGGTGAGCGCAACGCCTGGAGGAGAGTGCGCAAGGAGCAGCGCGCAACTCCGGAGGGGCGTCCTAGGGCCCTCGGGAAGGATCCTGCCGCGCTCCTCTTTACGCACTGCTTGGCGCAACCACCTAGGGCAAAGCGGAGACTTGGCCCGAGGCAGCCGCTCTCCCGGAGAATCTGCGCCCCGCGATGCGCGCTAGCATGTTGGGATGCATTCAAATAACGCCTTTGCGTTATTCGGCATCTCAGTCTGGCAGCACCTCTTCAACTATTTCCAGCTTAGAGCTATATTCACTTTTTTTAAAAAATGGTGCAGGGGAGCGCATCCAGACTATCGCCGTTTCAGAGTGGGATTCAGTCACAGACAGACACATTTAGGTTTCCCGATTATTGTTGCTTGGGAGGGCCTGCGTAACAAACCCGCTTTCCCCAGAGAGCCGGCTTTTTGCGATATGGAAAGTGAAGGGGAAAGGCACTGGAAACTGGCTAGCACTTGTTTTGAGACAGTTATCACGCCTCTCTGCAAACAAAATCGGAATGCATGCTCAGTAAAGAGTTTATCATTTTAGTGGCAGGGTGCTTTGTCCCGGGTTCAGTTTGACCTATCTTCATAATGGCCCTCTGATGTAGGCTACTATTATTCCCATTTTACAGAAGGGAAACAGAGGCCAACAGGGAGCAACCTGCGTAGACCAGGGATGTAACTTGAATTGAGGTCTACCACATTCCAGTCAAATACACCCAGTTCCTGGGAGGATTCAGCTACTCTTTCCATTACACTCCCTGCTACAGCTTTATTGTTCCTTTCCCCAGGGTTGCCATCAATGGGGAACCTCTCCTTTGCATATATTAAAGTTAACAACAGCGTTCAAATCTATTAAAACTTGTCAATTGACTTGTATTGAGCTTGGGACCACACAAAAATATACATTTGGGGCCTGTGTGCTCAACTGCTGCAGAACTATATGTTAAAATGGCAAAGAGTTCATGGAAATTATGGCAGAGGTGATAACTATGCAGTTGTTCACTAGCTTTTTCCATATTGAAGGGCAGCATGATTGCTAGGACAGCATAGGTACACATGCGAACACTCAACCTCTGAAAACATACACAGTGTAAAACAATTAAAGGCTAGTTTTAAATAACCTTTTTAAAAACTATTCAGAAATGATGAAGACACAAAAAGAATGTATTATCATCAATGATGCCACAAGCACTATCCAGTAGGTGTTCATAACATTCTGGAAAGCACAGTATGCCTAGCACCTCTTATTGCAATAGATGCACTGGGATAATGGGATTTCCTAAGCAGGCACATTGGCAGATGATCAATAGGGGATATTGCAGGCTGTTATTGGTGGATCAGGAATGGATAGGAATAAACAATGAACATAAAGGATTTGTTTAAACAAGGCATCTTCTGAATGGACTGACACATAACCCAACTCCTCACTCTTTCCTCCACACAAGTATTCTTAGATCTGGTCTTATTTATGTCCCCTCCTTTCAGGGCAAAGGCCAACAACAACAACAAACCCTTACAACAAGTTAAAAACAAAAGGGTTGTACCCAACTAGGTCAGATTAGACCTACTGAAATCAATAGACTAAAATTAGTCCAGAGGACCTACTCTTCAGTTTGCCGTAGTTGGCTGAAACTCAAATATTTTGCTGCTTTTCATATGCTGTTAGGGGATTTGCTACACACTTTCTCTTGTGTCCATACATAATGGAAAGTGGTATGAAATAAGGATGCCTTTCCACCCACTCTGTGAATGACTGAGTCAGATATGAACAGTGGAAATCATGGGTGCAGCTGGATTGTAGAGTATGAGTGTGCTGCAGACTTTCCTGGATTATTTTGTACAGATATATGCATACATAGATCTGGTACAGTGCCTTAGCTTTTGAGTTTGAGGTAATGAGGACGTTCAGTTCTCACCTCTGCCCAGTTAATGTAGGTATACAAGGCTCTTGAAAGATTGAATCTCCTTCAGAGTTTGGTTTTCTACTAGGTCATTTTCTCCTGTCCTGTTTGTGAAAGCAGTTGAGCAGGAATTGCTTGGAAGGGATCATTTAGAAAGGATTGCATTTTTGTTGATGTGGAGCACTTCATATGATCCTAGCACAGTAAGTTTGATTGAGTGTGGGCTGTATTCAAATGGAGAAAACAGGAATCCCCTGGATGCAGCATGACCCAACGCTCATTTGAGTAGCCTTATTGTGATTTGTACAGTATTAGCAAAGCTTATTAAGGCTTTCTAAAACATGTATGCATGTGTGCTTGTAGTTCCAGCTAATAGCACCTGGACTGTGTGTGACAGGCATGGTGTGATTGCTAAGAATTGTGACCCAAGCAGTTGTTGTGAGAAGCACATGACTGTAGAAGCAGTCATTGTCTTGGGAATGTAAGGTCAGGGGAGAAGGGAATAAACTTGAGGTTATACATTTCAGCATGCCTTTTATGAAAAAATAAAATAGGAAAGCCAATCCTGTCAGAAGAAATGCCCCAGATAATATAGCAAGAATGAGTTAACGCCAGAGTTCTGTTTCCTGACTTCCTGTGCAACTTTCTCAAAAGTAATGTTCCTGTCTATGCCAGCCTCTCTCATTTCCATTTTCTGTTTCTTTGTTTAGATTTGCCAGTGAAGGAACTGGGCCAGGATTTCCCCTTGCATTTCCTTCAAAAGCTGACTCATCCAACATTTCATTACCTGCCTATGTAGAATCTATATGGGCAGGTTATACAATTTTGGAGAATACATTGTATTAAAGATATAACATTTTTTGTGCTTCTCTTTATTGTTTTTCTGTCAGTTACAAATAGTTCTTGTTTGGAGCTTTCGGGCCAACTACTCTCAGTAGCAGCAGAGTCTAATCTTTTGTGGTGTTTCCTGTTTTTATTCAGAGTAGGAAGTTGTTCTCTGGTAGGTCATACCCTGTTGGCTTTTGGACTTCTTGAGTTCAGCAGGGGTAGCAGGAAGCACAGGAGTCAGATTTACAATGAATGGGGATTGAGATATACTCCACCGAAACTTCAGATTGATACCTCTGGGTTGTTCATTGCATTTGCTTGTCATCTGTTACACAAGAGACACCACAAAGCCTGACTTCCAAACTGCCTTGGGATATGTATTAAAAATGCCCTGGCTCATAGTCATTCCTGATCATGTCCACATCTCTCTTCTCATCTATAAATGTGTGTTTCTTCTGAAGCAACAGTTGAACATTTACATATTGTAACTTTACGCTGTTGAACAGTGGTACCTCAGGTTACATACGCTTCAGGTTACATACGCTTCAGGTTACAGACTCCACTAACCCAGAAATAGTGCTTCAGGTTAAGAACTTTGCTTCAGGATGAGAACAGAAATCGTGCTCCAGTGGCCCAGCGGCAGCAGGAGACCCCATTAGCTAAAGTGGTGCTTCGGGTTAAGAATAGTTTCAGGTTAAGTACGGACCTCTGGAACGAATTAAGTACTTAATCCGAGGTACCACTGTACAGCAGAAAGAAGTTTGCTGCATTGTCACTCTAGAAAAATCAGCTTGCAGGTGCAGGATGCAGATAAATTGAGATAAAACACCCTCTTGTAACATTTGGGGAGTGGAGTAGGCTATGGAATAGAGATGTCAAGGGCTGTTGAAATGTTTCTCTGCCTCACTAGCACACCACAAAAAATCCCAAGTGTCTGTATGAAAGCTTTCCACTTGTGCAGATAGACTAAGCAGGGGCTATGTCTGCATTAGAATCTTGTTCAAATGGCTTCTTGATTACGTAATTATAAACCTTCGCACATACTTTATTGGGGCAGACTGACACTTGCATTGGATTATAAAGCTGGTATTGGCTTGCTTCATATGACAGTGACTAGGGTTACGTCTTTCAAAGTCTACTTATAATAGACAAACTGTCTTCTTTCTTTTGGTATTTTAAAAGTGCACTGTGTACTGTAAATTGCTAGCTCAAGGTGGAACTAAACATTTGAGAGTAAACATGGGATTTTCAGCTGTGTGTTTGATGTCCAAACATGAGAGAGGGGCATATACAGTAGAGAAGTGGGAGATGTGGAGCAGTGGGGGTGTTTAACTTTTCCCTGCTCCTTCCAGCTTTATTCTTATCATCTCTACCCCAATCAGGACATCCAAGACATGCTTTCCTAGGAAGTGGGGGAAAGCAGACACAACAGGAAGTTGCAGAGTGAGGTCAGGGCAGGGTTAAGCACCTCTTCCAATTCCCTCTCATAGCTCCTGCAAATGTCAACCCACCTCTGCCTTGTATATCAAGAGCAAAAAGGAATTCCCAGGACATTTCTAGTTTTACCATCAGACAAGAGCCATGTTTGCACATTGTAGTTCAATCCCTGGATCAGACATAACTCTCAGCTAGGGATTATGGTTTGTTTCCTGCATGTGTGAGCAGAGATTAGTCTTAACAGCCCAGAAAGGAATATTTACAGTAAACCACTAACTATAGCTTACTGTTACATGCAAACTGAGCCATCGTATTTTGTGGAAAGTGAATAAATTCAACTTTTTATTCAAGCCAAGGACCCCTCCTGTTTGATTTAAGCATCCCCCAGGGACGCGGACTTATAAAAAATATTGGGGGGGCCCGGGAAAGCTCATGAATAATAAATAACCTCATGAATATGCAAATAAAGTGGCGCCGCCTCCTCGTGAGCGAATAGGGGAGAGCGTGCTGCGCCTATTAATCAGCTCCGGAACAGCTGATATGCGGGAAACGTGGGGCTAGCCGGAGAAGAGAGGGCGAGCCCCCTCCGCTCCGGCCCTAAATAGGGCAAGCCACACACCCACAGCCAGCCGTTAGGTACCCGGTCGTTCTCGCGGGGGCTGAAACCGCCAGGAGGAAGGAAATTCCCCCCGGCAGTGCCTTGGCAGTGGCGGTGGTGCTGCGAAGCAGCGAGGCAGGAGCCCCCGCCCCCGGGGATTCCCTAATCTCGCGGGGGACGGCCGGGGCTCTCCGACTAGGGCGCGCGGCTGGCTGGCTGGCTGGCGAGGGAGCAGGTGGGGAGGAGGCGGGGATGGCGGCGGCGCTCTGCTGGAAGGGCGCCCGAGATTATTGGGGGGGCTGAGCCCCCCCAAAAATTTTTTTGAGGGGGCTCGAGCCCCCTCAGGCCCCATGGAGTCGGCGCCTATGGCATCCCCTGTTGTTGTTGTACTATATAATAATAGTTCCTTAGCAATCAGCCTCTTTTTCAAGGTCTTTCATTTTAAGAATGCAAAAACCCCATGAGCGTACCCAAAAGGAAATGTTGGATGGACAGCAACAAATCTGATGCTTAACCTTTCATTCTTTTATAGTGACTCTGCCTATGTTAGGAGTGTGAGAGATGTTTTCTTTTGGCCATGCTGAATATAGAGTCTCTTCCCCCTCAACCTTGGAGAGATCCCATTGAGTATTGCATAAATAACAAAGGCATTTTGTGGAAGGAACCATCAGGGGAGCACACGGATTCCTGACTCTCACATTTGTTCAGCAATACGCTCATCAATTTAGAAAATCAAGCAACTGGGAGACAAACAGCTTGGAAAACATTTTGTTGTTGTTCTTGCTGCTGAAAACTTAGATACAATAAATGGATTTAATAATCATTTCTTAGTGTGATCTTTAGTGATATACATTTTGGGTGGAAAATGGTGGATACAATTAATTACAAAATCAAGGGCTTGAGCTGTAAGTATTGGGGGATACATTGTGTCAAATCTGGGTCTTCCCCAGTCACTTACAAGGACTGAAATGTGGGTTGGTTTTTAGACTGAACAAATGAAGGAAACAAAATCTTCCATGTGACTGCTGCTTACTTCCCCATCCTCCAGGGGTGGGGGAACCTTTTTCACCCTGATGGCATTACATGGCCTCTTGGGCAGCCTTCCAGGGGCCATATGTTAATGGGGGGTAAATATGTCTCTTTTCTTTGTACAGTAGGCTGTTCTGTACCCCTATCATGGCATCTCCCGGCCCCAAGTGCTCACTCCGGAGAAAAGCTGGAGAGACAGACTGAAGGAAGATTAACCACATATGGGAAAAAGATTAGTGCCCCACCAGGACCACCACATGCCCCTTTGCTTTAAAAATAGGACCTTTACTCCCACTATGCACTGTATATATGTTTTGGGGCAGATACTGCAGTTTACAGAAATAATCTGCTGTCATGTGTAGACTGAGCCTCAGTTAACTACACTTCTGTGGTTTGTTGCATGTGATTTATCAATACTTGAATTCTTCAGTGCTTTTAGTCAATCTTGCTAATTGATACTTGAGGAATAACTTTGATTCTGCTTACTTAATGGCAGATTAAATCTATATAGGTTAGAACTGAGTGGGTATTTTTGAAGGAAATCCAGCAAAACTTGTTGATCCATGCATGCACTGGATTTTGCTTGTATAAGTTGTATGTGTGCGTCTGAAGCTGGCAGCTTGTTAGGAGATTAAACTACAGGCCTGCACCAAACAGGAGACTGGACTAGATGGCAAAGCCATTCTCGACTGTTGTGGCCAATGCATCTTTCCAAGTTGAGATACTGCATCTATTGACTCGGCAGTTATTAGCAAACACAGTGCACCCGTGGGGTTTCACTTTGTCCTGTGAGGCTTCAGACTGCCCCTCAATCTGAGCAGTTTGCCTTCTGCACCAGAGCCTGTGGTGCTCGATGGTGCTGGAATCCAGTTCCCATCAGCCCTATAAAGCATCAAGCCAATGGTCAGATATGATGGGAGTTGTAGTCAACATTATCTGGAGTGCCATAGATTCCCTAACATTACTTACTGCTAGCAGAAGGCCTGTAAATTCCTTCTGGTCCATGAGCACATCATTTGCTTCCTCTTTGCCTCCATGCCTTGCCTTCTCTGCCTCTTGGTTGATGAGCAGCCTTCTGCTTGCCCAACTCAGCTGTGGCCATTGCTGCAGACTGACTGCCCTGATTAGTGATTCTGTCAATGCAGAGACTCACTTAATCAAAGTATAAATTATGAAGCCAATTTTCATTAATTAATTTGACAGTTCTTTTCCACGTGTAGCCATTTTAGGTTTTAGGTTCAGCACAGATAAGATTTCAGTTGTGATCTTTGTTTTAGGTTTAAAGCGTCTGGCGAAAGCAGACAGGTTTTCTCACACAATCTAAAATACTTTTCTTACCATGTCACAGGTTTTTGAAGATGTTCCAGTTCTCTTGATTTAGATCTGGTGAAGTTTTAGCAATTTAATTTCTGTAATTCAATCATTCTACAGAATGACGGGATTTGTTATCACTGATCTTAGTTATTCAGATTAAAGCAGCCTTCCCCAGCCTGGTGCCTGTCAGACTACAAGTGCCGTCAGCCCCCGCCAAGTGCTATGTTTTCCAAAACATCTGGAAGGAACCAAGTTGGAAAGTGCTAGATTAAAGGAGAAGGTTGTAGCATTACGATCTAGGAATGCCTAGTTCACAATGCCCAGGAAAGAGTACACAACTACCTTTTGGTCATTGATGAGCATGACTAAGTTATGTCCATTAATTTCAGAGGGTCTACTCTGAGTAAATCGTAGCTGACTACCACCCTAAGTCTTAAGAAACACAGCACTCTTCCTTTTCTGCACATTATTAAACATCATGGGTATGATCCAGCCAAAGCGAAGTATTTTTAAATGCTTTCCAGGAAATATCCTAACATATATTTATAATGGTATTTTAAAATGCTTAACTTTAATTGGATCGCCTCCTAACAATGTATTGTTAAATGTTCCAACTATTTAAGTCTTCCCTCCAATAAATAAAAAATATGCCATTGCATGAAATATTTAAAATGTGGATGGTGAAATTGATGTTTAAAACCTCCACAAACATTATGTCAATGAAAAGGCTGACAATAATAGGCCATCGCGGGTGGTATTTGTTGCTGGCTGTTATATCCAAGATTTTGAAAAGCAACTGGAGGACATTTTATGTCCTTATCTCCAGCTGTACATAAATCTGTTTCCAGTAGTTTGAAGAATAGTTTCTTATCTGTGTTTTCCATTTCTTTTCACCAGTTGTGATCATGTGTGCCAGCAGTGACGCAATAAGGAACATCATGTTGGCTGCACATCGGCAAGGAATGACCAATGGAGACTATGCTTTCTTCAGTATTGAACTCTTCAACAGTTCATCATATGGTAATGTGGTTTCTTTCCTCTGGTGGGTTCAAGGCTTTTATAAACAAAGCAACATTTTAAATATCACTTTAGTCTTTAAGTTTGTAAGTCTTAAAAAATGCCACATAGCATTGTCTCTTCTAACACTTATTAGTATCCACTTGGATTATGAAATTAGAGGGGGGGGCAAGGTTTTAAAAGTTCAGTGTATAAAGAGAAATTGGTGACGCAAAAAAGAGCTAAGACTGGGAGGAGATATGATAGCCATCTTCAAATATCTCAAGGGCTGTCATGTGGAAGATGAGGCAAGCTTGTTTCTCCTGCTCCAGAGGTTAGGACCCAAACCAATGAATTCAAGTTACAAGAAAGGAGATTCCCACTAATCACCAGCAGGAATTTTCTGACAGTTGAACTTTCTGTTCAACACTGGAATGGACTCTCTTGAAAGGCAATGGACTCTTTCATTGGAGGTTTTTAAGCAGAGGTTGGATGGCCATCTGTCATGGATGCTTTAGTTGAGATTCCTGCATTGCAAGGGTTGGATTAGATGGCCTTTGGGTACCTTCCAACTCTACAATTCTATGATTCTGTGAAATGTATGAAAAACTGATAGCCTTTATTTATTTTTAAATTTGTTTTCCCCTCTGCCCTCAAGTAGTTCAGAGCTGGATTTGAGTCCTGTGAGATAGCTTATGTTGAGAGTCAGTAACTTGTCTGTAACCACCAGTATGTTTCATATGCCAAGCCAGTGTCAATTTGAACATGTGTCCCCATCGGACAACCACATTATCACATGGGAAGTTTGATCCATACATGTTGCTGCAGCCTCTGGCTGCTCAGGCAAGATAATGAGCATGGGGTTGATCTTCATGACCTCAAAGATTACTTCCCATTCTACGAGTCTGTGATTTCAAAGGCCTGGCTTGTTCTGGAGCTGTTTAACCATAGTTTTCCATTTCAAATAAGGAAACTATGGTTAGCTGAATGTGTCCTGGTTTGTTTGCTGATTTACACTGAGGGGCTCATTCATTTCTCAACTGATTAATCAAAGGTACGCTCATCCAAATATCCTCATAGAATCCTACTAGACTGGAGGTACAGGAATGATGTGGATTATTTGCTCAATTCATCACCAAGCAGCAAAGCCTCAAGGTGGCTTATATTATAAGAGCAACAAGAAATATTTTTTTTAAAGACACAATCATCCAAATTGCTAAATATAACCACCACAATAAGCACACACTCCCCACCCACCTCACTCCTCTAGACATATTTTTCTTTTCTCTTTTCCGCTCTTAAATTCTTTTTGATTCTTTTTTCTTATTCATTAGTGTAAATTTCCAGTTGTAAAAATTAGGTTTCCAGGGAGATTATAGCAGTTGTGTTGTGGCACTCTGTTGTCTGTATTGCCAGTGCACAATGTTATTGCTGAAAAAATGAAATAAAAACAAGCATATCTCTTGGGACCCCCCCCCCAAAAAGGGAAATGTTTCTTTGTTTCCCTTTCTTAGGTCCCAAGAGCTATACTTGTTTTCATTTCATTTTTGTCCTGAACTTCCTGTAAAGAATGTCAGACTTTTGCCACACATCTCACCCTTGAAAACAGCATGCTTACTTTTTCTGTAGTACAGTGTGTAGCCTTTTGTTTTAAAAAACTGCATTAATGAATCATGCAGGGTACAATCCATCCACATTTAATTTCAATGGGAGAGATTTGATCATGTGTTTGATACTCTCATAGGTAATAAGTGTGATTTAAAAGTGTTTAAGTTTGGTGGATTGTGCGCCTTTGTTAGCAGGACAACATCCTTTAAATCTCTGGCTACCCCCAGCAACACATGGGGAATACAGCAGAAGGAAAGGGGGAAAACGAGCTCTTTATGGTAACTGGCTTGGAATTGTAAATATTTTTATTTCTCCCTTAGGTAATGGCTCATGGAAGAGAGGAGACAAATACGACCTTGAAGCAAAGCAGGCGTACTCATCCCTCCAGACAGTCACACTACTGAGGACAGTGAAACCTGAATTTGAGAAGTTTGCCATGGAGGTGAAAAGTTCTGTACAGAAACAAGGAATCCATGATGATGATTACGTAAGTGCCCGATTATGAGGCTAGAGCTTTTGGCATCATAAAAACACCCTCCTAATTAAATCAGAGGTGACAAAGTGGCCTTTTCTGAATTGGACCAAATTGTCGGAGTGTTCAGCTACTTTTTCAGAACACTTTTCCTGGTAGCCTTAAAAAAAGCAACCCCACTTGCAAGTGAAAATTGCTCTTTCTGTTTGTTCACAGTCATCTGGAACAGAGTCCCTTTCATCTTCATCTGTCTTGCTCATTATGAGGCTTTTAAGGGATGATGTGGTGAAGAAACTGGTTCTGTAATCCTTACTGTTTTTCTGCGTCAGGATTTCCTTAGTTTTCCATTTAGCTCCAGGTTTCCCTGAGTTATCTCAAAAGCCATTCCAGCAGAGAACCAAGTTATCCTCTAGCTCCTTGTCCTGTCCTCACCTTATCAAATAATTTATTGCAGTCAATCAACAAACCGCATTCCTTCCCACTTGTGTTGATGGATGATACTGGGGAACATAAACCATGCCATGAATCCTTTCCTCCACTTGAGACCTTTTCTCACTCCTTTCTCTGTAGTTGTAGCTGGGTTCTATTGCAAAGTACCTGAATGAACTTGACTTGAACAGGCTCTCAGACCAAATCTGAGAAGTCTTGTTTTGCCATTGTAACTTTTTTCTTCTTGATGATCTCTGCATCTCTTTCTCTCACTCTCTTTATATTAGTTAAGGTGCATTTTAGATGCATTTATGTCTGCTCATGTAAAGGTACACTGGGAAAATGTGGAACCTATCAAAAGTGAAGGGGGAGGAACAAGGTTTCTCAGATGCAGCTTGTGAGATTTGCATTTTACTTCCTTAATTGTGTTACAGAAACATCTTCCAGTTTATCAAAATATTCTGAAAAGAGCTGTTTTGCACTCACAACTATTCTGAACCCAGAAATATCAGTATTGGAGTATCTAATACTGCTGTCGTGGTCTTGGATCCAGACAGAGACAGTTAGTGCTGCATTAAGGGAGGACATAACAGAGGAGGTTTATACTGTAAACCGCCCTGTGATCCTCAGATAAAGGGTAGTATATAAATTTAATTAACTAAATAATAATAACAAACCCGAGGAAGACCTTGTATCTGGAACATTTCAGGAAGCAGCCACTGAGGCAGTTCTTCTGGTGGAGACTTCCTGAGATGAAGAGAAGGCACAGCAGTCTGTCCCTAATCCCCAGGGGCTTTGCTTCTTTTATCCTCTGGCTCCCAATCATGGTTTCTTGCCTGTATCACTTGATACCAAAGACTCCACCCCAGAACTTATCTCAGCTCTTTGCATTCTGCTGCACACACGCACACACACACAACGGCATGCCAGTCCCTGAGGCAGCAGAAAACACCACTTCAGTCAAAGGCAGGTTGCAAAAACAAAGCATCTCTTTGAGTACTGATTTCCTCCAGGGATGTGGGGCCTATGGCACAGACCGCCCTGCCTAGTTATATTTGCCCTCATGAGAGTTCAGGTCAGTACTGGGGAAATATACTGGATTGCCCGTCCTTGGCACTGATCATTTGCCTTCGCTTGGCTCCATCTCCCACAATCGCTGTCCCAGGTTCTGACACCAAACATCTCTCTTTTATTCATTTATTTTATTCCTTTTATGAGTCATTTGATTTTTTAAAATCATGCTTTTTAAAATCATGCTAAAATCTAGGCAATCATGCTTGCCCGCTTGGCTCTGCGGCCCACCTGTGGCTATTGCTGTAAGTACTTTCCTGGCTATCCTGCCTGCTGCTATGGCGTAGCTCCTCGGCAGCTTCAGTTATGAACAGCGCTTGAGCAAAAAATGTTGTTCTCCATCCATGGGTGAGGCCTATCTTCACAGGAGATGAATAATGATTAGGTTCCTAGAGTGTAAGTAACAGCTGTTTGTAGATAGTGCAATGTGATTAAGAGGAAGATAATTCCAGGTTAGAGATTCAAAATGGTCAGCCCAAAACAATTAGCAGTAACATTCGTTGTTGCCGTTTTCTGCTTTTAAATTATAACTTTCTAGCAATTTTCCTTAACATTAAAAGTAAAAGGAAATGTATACTGTTCCGGTGGCATCCAATTGGTGCCCCTCTGCTAACGGAATGTATTCAAAAGGAGGGAGGGAATTTTCTGCTTTGCCCCTGCAGTCCCTTAAAATCTGCCCCCTAAGACCCGCAGGGTAGATTATATTGGGGGGGGGAGGAAATAGCACAAAATTGCCCCCCTGTCTGTCCACTTGCCTTCTGTCAGCACAGGGCACCAGTTAGATACCACCCTTTTCTGTAGGGGAGAAATTACTTCCTGAAAACCCCCCAAAGTGTTTTATCTTGTGAAGATTTTAGGCATGGGACATAATGAAACATAACAACGGGGACACATGTAAAGTTTTTTAATAAACCCTTTAAGAAATGCCAAGTTCCTTGATAAATATTCCATTGTATGTCACTGACTGAAGTGTTCTTGGATGTTCCAGAGACACTTTCGGCAAGTGATTTCAAATATTCTGTGTTAAATCCAGGCAGTTGCCCATTGGTATTAGTGCAAGACTTTTCCACTACAGCAATTTCCATTCTCTACACTGGCTTTATATTGCAGCTGCTGAATGCAGCATTTGACAGGCAGAGTGTCAGAGGATTTTGTTTTTGTTGTTTTTTAAAAAACACCCCACCAGAGTTTTGCCTGTTCAGAGGCACTGAACTGTAATCTCGGCTGTTTCACCTTCTTTTTCCCCATGAGAACACCCTCTATGGAGCTCTGTTAGGAATAAAAGTTCTGTGTCAGATGTGGCACAGCCCTCATTGAAAGTCTACCAACTCCTTGTAGTTGTAGATAGTGGAAGCAATCATTTGGAACTAAAATCCATTTTGTATGTCCCTCCACAAAAGGTTAATGGGACACAGTACATCTAGTAATTTCTAATGCCCCCCCCCCCAATGCAAATCATTTTTAGCAGCAGACCTTTAAATCTGTTTTATACAGATTTGGGTTTAAAGCCCCACTGTAATTAAACTTCTTAGGACTTGTGAAGGTTTCTTTTCTTTTTTGAACCAAAGGGGGGGGGAGCTTCTGCCCCGCCCCACCACCCAGGCCGGGAGCCATACAGAACATGGTCTGTGTGAGAACATGATAGGCCACTCAGGAGAGGTGTATAATGCTATATTTTGCTAAGATGTCTGAAAATGTTGCTTTGAATGGTAGCTGTCCTCCTAGCATTTAATGCTAAACTGCTACAGGTGTTAACAACCTCAGTATGGTGTCACATTGACAACATACATTTAATGCAAACTTTAAGCACATGGTTTACCCTAAAATAATCGTGCAAACCATAGCCCCCCCCCCAAACAACAAACCCCAGCTCCCTAAACAAACTACAGTTCCCAGGAATATTTGGGGGGGGGGGAGTCAATGTGCTTTAAGAATATGTTGTGAACCTAAGAGAACTTAGGAGTTCAGTCATAGCATTGAAAAGGGAGAGGAGACAGGGATGTTGCACTTTGGAGTTCCACAAGTAATACAGTAAACCCAATTTAAGGCCATCTACATACCTCCCAAGAACTGTACTGGAAATTTATATTAGGATGTTGGCATTGAAATATGAATAACAATATACCATAACAGCATTAGGGTCCCAGGGTAGAGATGGCTGGATCAGTCTACTTCTTGGTCTGTTTTCGTTGCATGTGTTAGTTATTGAATCCATCCTGTACTTTACATTGCATTAGTGAATTTTTGAAACTAAAACACACATTAAAGTTTGTGTTTAAACACGAGCATCTTATTCAACATACAGTGGTACCTCTGGATGCGAACGGGATCCGTTCCGGAGCCCCATTCGCATCCAGAGCAGAACGCAACCCGTGTCTGTGCGGGTTGCGATTCGCCGCTTCTGTGCATGCGTGTGACGTCATTGAGCATCTGCGCATGCACAAACGGTGAAACCCGGAAGTAACACGTTCCATTACTTCCGGGTCGCCACGGAGCGCAACCCGAAAATGCTCAACCTGAAGCAACTTCAACCCGAGGTATGACTGTACTTGCATATTTGAAAAATGGTTGAAGAGCTGTATTCAACATTTTAATCCCTTTTCAAAAAACAGTCAAAGTAACTACTCCAAGCATATCTGCCTCCACAACTGTGTACTGTTGCAGTTAAACATCTTCCCGCACACCTGTCAGTTCCATTTCGAACACAGTCTTGGTGGCAGAAATGCTTTGTTCTGATTCATGAGTTAGTCTGGGAGGAGCACGTCAGGCCAATTTGGGGGGAAGATCTTGGTTCATATCCAACAGATGCAGCTGATTTCAGTGAAATGTACTTGTTGCAAGTAAGTCTGCTTAGGATCTCTGTTAGTTGAATCTGTCCGGAATTCCAAGAAAGTCCAAGGATGCCTTTCTGAGGACAGTAGTAGAGCTTTCTAAATAGAAGTCAGTCTTCCTCAGGTACAGCCACTTGGCCAATATATTATTGTTAGTCTCTCATCAAACTGGAATTTCCTGTGCGAGCAAATCTTAACACTGAACAGGTAACAATGTTTCTCTTAACTGTATTTCTTTCAGAATTGGAACCCTGTGTTAGTATAAAGCAACTGTAACTGACCGCATCTGCAAATGTAGTTGATAACCTGTTTCCAGGGTCCTTAAAGTGATACAGATATCCTCTTGCATTGTCTTGCCAGTCTATTAAGGAGGCAGTAAATCAGTATGGAGTAATATTAATGTAAACTTGAATTATTTAAACACGTGCTGTAGGATTTATTTATTTTTTAAGCATAGCTTTTTAAAAAGCAAAACTGAACAGGCCCTGAATTGGTGCCTGATGGGGAAACCCCAAAAATATTAACTCTAGACAGTATTCTCACCTGAAACACCCAGCTTTGTCAGGGCCCTTTAATATTAGGTGACCATGTGATTTCAAGTGCCTCACAATAAATAAGCACACTTGTTTTTGATATCCCATTCTGAAAACAGCATAACAGGAAAGATTGTCAATGAAAGCTGCT